CGCGCTAGCCTAAGGGCCACCTTAGCAAAGCGCATCCCAGGCTGCATAGCCGCACTACCCTACCCAACCATACCACACATAAACATGACACTACCCCCGGGGTTTACACAGACGAGCCGGCGAAGCAAGAAGAGCGCCAGAAGAAAGGGCCCTAGCCGGCGGGGCCCAGCCAGGACAAAAGGAGGTCCCACAAAGCGCCTACACCGGCCGCATTTGCGGTCGGGGTAGACGACGGATGGGGCCCACCTACGAAGGCTGTCCAGGCCTACACGAGATGAGGCAGGATAAAGAGGGATAATCCCCCTCGATCCCGAATCATTGAGGCCAATTTCTAGCCATAGAATAATGGCGCGCGCGGAGACTACATATCTCCCTGCGCATTACGATCCGAAATCAAGCAACCTGATTGGTTTCCATCGGAATAGAAGAAAAGAGCTAATATTGATTGCTTTGTTTTTAATCGTGTCTTGCAAAACTCGGTCAACTTTCGGAATTTCTTCTACAGCTTGTTCAGTGTTCACTGTTCAGTTGTTTCAGTAGGTCTTTTGACTCTTTTGTATCATAAGTAGGTTTCAGGTGTAATCTATCATATGAAATAACCTCTATGCGCCTGTTAGAGGTAGCTTACTTTTGAAATTTGGACATGCAGACAGCCCTTGTTTTTAAAAAAAACTTTGGTTTGGTGAAATATTTGGAACTTTTGTGCTGTTTCTACACACTAATTTATATAGAATGACAACAGAATGAGTGGGCAAAGGCAAAAATGAGTTATTCCGATATATGCTTTGCAGGTATGGTATGTTAATTATTAATGAATCTATATAGTTTGTTTTTATTTTATCATCCTTCATTTAGAAATTAACTGCAAATTATTGTATAAGTACCAAAAGTATTGTTTTTTAAACGTCAAAAAAACGGTTTATTTCCCATTTCAATTATCACCAACTTGGAACGAGATACAAATAAATATTAAATTTGGATAGTGTGCTACAGGCACCACCAAAAACTGTTACATATTCACTTCATAAATGGCGCTACAGTGAAACACGACTTGAAGGGATTATTAAAATTGTTAAACTTACCTTCATTTTAATCTTAGACTGGTTTATGACTATTGCCGTACGGGTAAGTGTTGTCGATTATTTACCTTTCTAGCACTGCGGTTTTATTAAAGAAAAAGTATTACAACACTTCAAAAGATGTTTTTCATTCATTAAATGACGAAATGTGTTTCGGAAAAAAAAAAGTGATATTTTCATAATATTTATTTGTCATAACAGTTAAACAATCTATATCTCTAAATGATAAAATACATCATGTCAGCCTATATACAATCAATAACATTTCATAATACTAACAATAAGAGTAAATAATTTTAATTTGTATACCGATCACAAAAACTGATCAAAAATTAAGTCATGCAAAATCATATATTTACATAAAATATATCACAATTTCTCAAAAGGCCATTTCCATCGTTCATTACAAAAATAAATATTTTTAAAATAATGGGAAAATAGTAAAATTGTAATTTTCAAATGATTTCAATATTAACTGAGTTGCGACAGTGGCGGCTCGAGGGGGTTATCAATTACGTGAACATCCGTCACTGCTTTTCAATATTATGACTAGATCTACATATTTCCACAAATAGAACAGGAAAGATCATTAAATTAGAAGTAACTTCAGAAGAAGATGTGCTATTACACTTATCATTAAATAAAATAGCTGGAATGAGAATATTTAAGACAATTTTTATCACAATTCAGTAACGAATTTCTAATAAACATATCGAAGACAAGAATAGTCGATTCAAGACTCGGTCGCCTTTTTTAAAATGCCTTTTTCGCTCACCCTAAAATATTAAAATAAACTTGTCCACATAAAAAGAATGCCACATATACGATAAGTACGCTTCGGGGTCCGAAGCTAATGATCCTTTAAGTACGTTATATTCACTACTAACATGCCTTAAAATTTCAGTACGTTTATAAAGATAACTTGGATCCCACCCTCAAAAACATAAATACCCTTTACATTAAGTCATCGCCGACCTTGACAAAGTTGTGTGTGAGTAGTTCCCGGGCCGTCGCCCTATCCTTGGGGTCGTGTTTGAAACACAACTCGAGGAAGTCCAGCCCTTCGTCGATCATGTCGTCGGGCGGATCGGGGCTCTGCCCCATGCCCACCTTGAACATTATCTGGTAGTTGGAATCGTACTGGTGCCAGGGTCGCTGGAAGGGACAAGGTTTTGTCAAGAGTTTATCGCGACTGTTCGTGCACAAAAAAAATAGAAAAACGTGAAATTTTTGGTTAGAGAAAAATAATTTTCTAAAAACAATGGGTATAAAAATTACTAAGGTTTTAAAAAAAATCAGTTTTTGCGTCGGAATCTGAGAAAACAAAATTACAATATGACCCCTATTCAAAGTTATGCCCTGTATAACAAACCCTTTCAATTTTCTGATCCCCAGGCGGTATCTGTTTCGAGTTGGGTAAAACGCATATGATCGGAGATTTTTGCTTTAACGGCTTCTAAATAACATCAGAAATGATAATATTTTTATGCAAATAAAAAAAAACGTGGGCTTAATTGTTATTGCAAAAAAGTATAAAAAAAATTGCATAAAAATTCTTTTTTTTCTTGGATTTCTCGTCGACAACTTAGCAATTATTCATTTTAGACAAAAATGGAAAAGGAAAAAAAGTTTTGTTATTAAATTTTGATCAACACAGAGTTAGTTGCAATTCGAGAAAATAATAATTGTTATTGCAAAAATCGGAAAAATCATTTAAAAAATTGCAAAAAATGCTATTTATTTGTCGATTTTTTTCAGACACTTGAATAATACCTAGGATCTTCATACTTTTCCCAATTAAACTTCTTAGTGTATAGAATCATCACACCAAATTTCATCCAATTCGGTTTGATAGTTTTTAGTATAATTGTTTAATTTATTTTTTTAATTAAAAAATTTTCAAAATAAAATTTCTAAAAATCTAGCCTTTAAATACTTGAAAATTTCACCACAAAAAGAAGAGCTCTCAAGCTTTCAAATGATTTTTGAAAAATTCAAATCGGACGATTAGGTGAGCCGTGGTGATTGTTTAAACATTTTCGTAATTTTCGCGCGTAAAAACAATTGCAATAATTTAATGTTCTTTCAAATTTTTTTTAATTTTAAAATATGGTTTGAAAGTACTCGGAAAGACGAGTATTTAAAAAAAAAAAACTGACGATCCGCCCATTATTTTCGGAGTTGTAGCCCGTTAAAGTTAACCCTTATTTACAGCAAAACTATAAGGGTATAAGGGCTGTTTTTTGAACTAATAGGTTTGTCATTCAGAGTACTTTCCAGACATAAATTTTCAAAATTTGCAATCACGTGCGTCCCATTTAAAATGTCACTCAAAGATATTCAAGACCGCATGAAATCAATGAGATATCAGTGGTGGGGGGAACAAACACACAGCTACTCCGATCTGAATTCTCGAGTTCAAAAATGCTCTGAGTATTGCACCCATTGCCAAGGGCAAATGTGTAAAAATGCTTACAAAACAGTGGAAGTAGTCGAGTTCGAAATCGATTTTGAAGAAGACATGTCAGAAGAAAGTGCAAGTGAACTCGACAATCAGATTTCAGAGTCGTTACAAAATGATATTTTGCAGTTGTAAGACGAGGAAATTGACGACGAAATAGATTGTGATAATACTGATGAGGCATGTGAAAAATCAACTAGTAAAAGAATTAGATTAGATTAAATTGTAAATAAAAATTGAAATAAATAGTTTAAAATTTGAAAAATCATGAAAAATGTGTTCTGTTTATTGAAGTATCCAAAAGATTCTTATACTTTTTTTATATGAATAAAAAATAAATTTTAGATAAATATTTTAAAAATAAACAAAAAAATTAAAATTATAATTATTCACAATTTATTTTTTTTGAAAGATTTTTAGAAATTTATCGTACAACTAAAAATTAATACCAATTTTTCAGTTGTTTATATAATTATTGTTTAAACAATTTTATAATATTTAAACAAACTTACTAGTATTACCTGGTGCAACATGCAAAAATTTTGGTCGTGAATATTAACAGTAAATAAATAAACATAATAAATTAATCATTTTTTAAAGTAACTGTTTATCGACATGTCAAAAGTCCAATAATTAATAATAAAAGGTAGTTGAAAATATGAAAATTGAATTTTTTAAGTTGCGAGACAGCGATTTAAAAAAAGAATCATCGAAATTGGTCCATTAGAAGCTGAGAAAAGTGAAATTTTTCCGAGCGTCGCAGTTTTGAACTCGAGAATTCAGATCGGAGTAGCTGTGTGTTTGGTCCCCCCCACCACTGATACCTTATTGATTTCACGCGGTTTTGAATATTGTGACATTTTAAATGGGACGCATGTGATTGCAAATTTTGAAAATTTATATCTGGAAAGTACTCGGAATGACAAACCTATTAGTTCAAAAAACAGCCCTTATACCCTTATAGTTTTGCTGTAAATAAGGGTTAACTTTAACGGGCTATAACCCCGAAAATAATGGGCGGATCATCAGGTTTTTTTTAAAATACTCGTGTTTCCGAGTACTTCAAACCATATTTTAAAATAAAAAAAAATTTGAAAAAACATTAAATTATTGCAATTGTTTATGAGCGTGAAAATTGCGAAAATGTTTAAACAATCACCACGTCTCACCTAATCGTCCGATTTGAATTTTTCAAAAACCATTTTAAAGCTTCAGAGCTCTTCTTTTTGTGGTGAAATTTTCAAGTATTCAAAGGCTTTAGATTTTTAGAAATTTAATTTTGAAAATTTTTTAATTAAAAAAATTTAAACAATTATGTAAAAACTATCTAACCGAATTGGATGAAATTTGGTGTGATGATTCTATGCACTAAGAAGTTTAATTGGGAAAAGTATGAAGATCCTAGGTATTATTCAAGTGTCTGAAAAAAATTACAAATAAACTAGCATTTTTTGCAATTTTTTAAATGATTTTTCCGATTTTTGCAATAACAATTATTATTTTCTCGAATTGCAACCAACTCTGTCTTGATCAAAATTTAATAACAAAACTTTGTTTCCTCTTGCATTTTTTGTCTAAAATGAATAGTTGCTAAGCTTCGACGAGAAATTCAAGAAAAAAATGAATTTTTCTGCTATTTTTTTATACTTTTTTGCAATAACAAGTCCACGTTTTTTTTATTTGCATAGAAAAATTATCTTTTCTGATGTTATTTAAAAGCCGTTAAAGCAAAAATCTCCGATCATATACGTTTTACCCAAGTATACCCTTTTTAAAACGGATACCACCTGGACTATTTGATAAAAACCAAATCGAACGCAAAATGGTGAATTTCAAAACACAACGGTATATTGTTTCGGCAGCAAACAAATTTGAAACTTAAATCTTACCTCTCCCGACGCCATCTCCACCACAACGCACCCCACCGACCAAATATCAGCTGCCCTCCCATGTCCCTCCGTCATGTTCCTCGTGAAAACCTCCGGGGCCATGTAAGCTACGAGAAAAAGCAACATTCAACAACACTTTTTAATCACATTTCAAATATGTTACCTTGCGTTCCGACGAACCCTTTCAACTCCCCGGGCATCGTGGTGTTACATTTAATTTTAGCTGCGCAACCGAAATCGCCTATCTTCAGGCAGTTGCCTCCCTCAGTCAGAAAGATGTTAGCTGTCTTGATGTCCCTGTGGACGACGCCGTGGTCGTGCAGACAGGCCACGCCCGACACCAATTGAAATGTGTACTTCCTCACCAGCAGTTCGGGCAGGCCGTGCTCGGTAGCCGCTATGAGCGTCTCTAGGGTGCCCTCCTCGCAGAATTCCATGAATATCAACATTTCATCCTACAAAATGGGTCGATTTATGAATATTTATTATAAAGATATTTTTTTATAATTCATCGACAAAGTCCATTCACTACTTACCTTATGCACCTCCACGCCATAGTACCGAACCAAATTCCTATGGACGATCCCTTCCAGGATCTTCATCTCCTCCGCGACCCTCTTTATGGTGAGGTTATCGTTGTGCTGCAAGGAAATCTCCTTCACCGCCATCATATCACCGGTGTTGTTGTTCACGGCCGTGTAGACCTTCCCGAAACGTCCCTGTCCGATCTTGATGCCGCGCTGCCACGAAAACGTCACGTTCTTCCGACGGATGTGACACCTAGTCTCCGTGTTACAAGTCAGGACTTTACCGATCAGGTTCTGTTTGCGCAAATTGTTGTCTAATTCGGCGTCTAGGGTTTCCACGGCTTCTCGGTAGTGTTCCGAGTGGATTTTCGTGGGGAATTTTATCCTCACGGCAGGAGGGCCGCTCCTCTCTTCCTTCCGTAGACTGGAAAAGACCAAGGCAAGAGTTAGAAGGATAAATTAGAGGGAGTGGGTTGAAACGAAGCGAAAATTAAAAAAAAATCGAACAATTGCTACGAATGTCAAATCAAACTCTGTTCAAGCTAAAAGGTGCGCACCCAAACTTACACACACCTCTGAACCAAAGGCCATGTGTTCGAGGTGATGCCACCTCTTCTCCATTTCACACCCATAAAACCGCACATTCTACACCTAAGAGAAAATGTTTAAAGACAAGAACAAATTGTTTTACAATGTATAAGGCGTCCCGAAACTATGAACAAAAAATTTAGGGGGTGATTCTTCATTTTACTGAAAACTAAGTATTAATGATGATAATCGTGTAAATAAAAAAACTTGTTAATGGAGCATTTTCATTAATTTCATTTAGGTGTTCATATGGGCCGCTACATCTAAAGAAATTTAAAAAACAATTGTTCGAGCTATGTCAACAAATTAATAAAAGTTGTGAAACAACTTTGTTGGGTTGCTATTCTTACAGCTGCCATACCGGGTATATTTATTATAAAAACCTAATTTTTATGTTGAACGAGTGTAATAATCCAATAGATATGGCCGACAGTAGACAATTTCGAATATTTTGACAGTAATATGTACTTAAGGAGGTTATGCTTATACACGGTAGTTTCGTTGTAGTACCAACCTTACATAAACTAATTTGAGCGAACTAAATATAATAAATACAAATGAAATTTATACAACAAATATTAGCTTGCATATATTTTTCGTGTTTAATGCACGGCAATTAACTTTTTATTTGAATAAAAGTGTCTATTTATTCATTTAAGAGCTTGTAAAATGATGGATGAAATCTGGCAACATTGCTATGGTGTGGTGGTAAAAGTTGGGTCAACTGTCATTACTGTCAACTGTGCTTTGGGCGTATTCCGTAAACATGAATGAACATACAAGATACAAAGGAAAAGTAATGACTGAAGAGCAATATAAAATGCATATGAAACAGAATGTGGATTGATGAGCAAAAAGTAAAATGTGCAAACCGAGAATCCATATAGCTGTCAAGAAGCTCAGTGTATGATAGTGAGATGTCCCCTTGTCAAATTGAAGATTATGACGGAACATCTATACTGTTCGTTTTGCAAAGAGATCCTTTCAATTTATGTTTCAAATTGTTATTATATTGCATTAGATCACGAAAAATTTATTTAATATTAATTATTACTATATATGTTTTCGACTGGAATAATTTTATAGTCTATAATCGAGCTATTCAAATATAGCGCGTCAGTCGAAGCGTTAAATACAGCGTACAGTGTTGCCATATTTCCATTCATTGGATCAGATTGTTCAAATTTGTCAAAACGTTATATATTCATTCCGTTATCTCAATAATTACATTGTAAGTGCATATTTTTATTGTTTTAAAATGTTTAGTAATATTTAATTCTTTAATTACAATTTTATTTTCCCGCTCCTAACCATTTTTAAGAGCAATATTCACATTTGATTAAAGTTTTTAAAGTGTATAAGAGCATAATTTTTAATATAATTTTTCAAAAAAACTATATTGGCAATCGATCTGATATTTTTACACGAGGCAGTTGGCATATTTATTAACAGATTTCAATGATTTTGAAAACTCTCTTATCATTTTTTTTTCGGTATCTAACCTCCTTAAATCGTCAATACTCCAAAACCATTAACTGTTATCATCACATGCAACACATAAAAACACTTGGAGTAAGGCATCGCCAGACGTCAGACTTAAGTGGAACAAAAATATAAATAACTGTAGACGAAGCAAGAGAGAGGAAAAATGATAAAATAAGACCTGTTTATTTTGAAACCTTTAAAAATAGTTACTATTTACTTTACAAAAGGATTTGCACATAAAATAAGATTATATTTTATAGAACTATAAACATTAAAATCTGTCAAAATGCATTTATTTAAATGTATTTAGTTAATTACTACATTTTCAACAAATTCAATTTGTTCCATTTATACAGTCCAAGTTTTTAGTGTCCTTTTTTGACAAAAAAAAAATAATTTTTGGCGTTTGTACCTTGAAACAAATTTTTGTGTAAAATCGTGCATGACAAAAAAAAATTGAAAAATATATAGTACCTTCCACATAAAAACATATAAGTTTGTGTTCGAAAAAAAAAAGAAGTTATAGAAAAATATGATGTAAACGCTGGGTTCTATGTAAAAAATCTCTTTACAAAAGCAAAATATTTTAACAAATAAGTTATAGAACATCACAAAAAGCGAATAAAGTTGAAAAATGCCCCATACGTCTCAAATAAATCAAGATAGGGTTTCCGCAATTCAAAATCGAGTTAGGGACATCTAAACAATTTTTTCTATCAAAAATTGAAATAATTTTTTCTTTGGAATGATGCCTTTTAGTGATATGCAACAGGTATATGTCTTTTTATAGTAAATAAAGTGAGGTTATATAAAACAAAACCATTACCCCACAATTTGTACGAAAAAATAAAAAATGGCAATAAACGAAATATTGTTTAAGCTATTCTTGGCGACCTCAATGTAACTTGATCTAAATTGGTTTATTTTGACCAAGGCAACTACTCTTGAAGTATGTTATAATCTTTACTGGATACCCTGTACATGTCATATAGTACAAAAAAAGAATGAGCGCTTAATAGGCCAACCAATAGAGATTTTTTGACACACTTAAATATTACAGCAAATTTCATGTACTACCTTTTGAAAAATACTTAGTAAATGAAAACCCAAGTGATTTCCCCAGCAAAGTCATGAACAATTTTTTTAAAACAATAAAAACTAAAAAATTACATTTTTTTGTTTTTTTTTCTATAATATCTCGGTAAAATAATGATGGAATCGTCTTACTCTCAATAGGACTTTTGTAGGTAATAAAAAAACTTATAAAAAATTTTATTTTGTGTGATCCGATCGGTTCATTTTTACAGAGAAAATCCAGAAAAACCTCTAAAATAAACCATTTTTTCAATCGTTTCGGGTGACTTTCAAAGGCATTTTTAGCATATTTCCCATGACCCAGGCGAAAATGCGAGATATACAAATTGGAGATTTTGTCGTCTACTTTCAGATGCCGTTTTCAGAATTTAAATTGGACCATTTTTGATAAATAGCCACACTGTGCAAAAAAGGCCCTAATTTGTTTATAATGCAATCGGACAGAAACCATCTTGCGTATAATTAAACTACATATTATCTGTCATTTTCTGCAAGACTGTTTTTAAAGCTTCAAATTTAAAGGAATTATGAATTTTTTAAAAAAAGGACCATTTTAGAGGTTTTTCCGGATTTTCTCTGTAAAAAATGAACCTATCGGGTCGCACAGAAAACCATTATATAGGTTTTTTTATCCTCTACAAAAGTCCTATTGAGAGTAACATGATTGCATCATTATTGTTATATATGGTATATGTAAATACTTTGGAGTAACCTGGTATATATGTTGTACTATTTCTGTCAGCGAGCCATTGCTTTTTGCTCTTCTTTTTGTTTGTAAAGGGCTGATAAAAATCTCGATGTACGGCTTAAGACGGACATTCCTTTGTATAAAATTAGCAAATAAACATTTTAAAAATAAATTTGTTTACAATTTATTATAATTATTTTTCGATATTATAAAAAATTAAAAAACCAAAAAGATTTCATTTTTTTGCAGTTTTTATTGTTTAAAAAAAAATTGTTCCCAACTTTGCTAGGGAAATCACTTGGGTTTTCATTTACTAAGTATTTTTCAAAATGTAATACATAAAATTCCCTGTAATATATAAGTGCCTCTTTTTTCGCTCTACTGGTTGACCTATAAGGAATACAAGATGAAGGAAAAAAATTATATTTTCAAAACTAAAAGCTTTCTCTGTTTTGAAGCTCATATAATTCAGCCTTAAATTTTTTGCTCATAATTTCCAAACACGCTGTAAATTTAGTCTTTTTTTTCAACTTTCAAAATAAATCGAAACTTCTTAAAAAAATATAGTTTTTTTAAAATTTTATATTAAAATTTTGAAATTCGTTCAAAAACTGGAATAGTAAGAAAAGCAACCATAAAATTACAACAACAAAAAGAATTACTCACTTGGCAACATTCAAATTCACAGCATCGACGAAATCCTTACACGGCGACTGCTCCGCGCTGGTCTTCTTCATCATCCCCGACCGCTGACTCATATAAGCCGGCCTGGGACTGGGCGAGGAACCCCTCGACCTAGACCTGATATGATCCAAGCCTCTGGGAGAGGCCGAGTGAAAACCGCTCTCGGGCGTAGAAGGTGCCGTGGTGCCGATTAAGTGAGAAATGCACACGTCCATGTCCTTCTTGAGCTTCTCAAACTTCTCCTCGGTTAGATGTACAGTGTTCGCCGGTTCGCAGACCGTCAGGAGGAACTCCATGCCCTGGTAAGCCCACCGGGGACGCATGCCGCGGCCCCTCTCGCACCGTTCCGTGACGAACTTCATCCACAAGTTGGCGAAGTCCACCATGCTGTAAACCAGGCGGTACCGGAATTCCGCCGGGGTCGATTCGGACATTTCCCTGTAGAACTTGACGGAATACAATTCATAAGTTTAAAAGAATTGAAAATAAAAAATAAAATTATTGCATAGAAGAAATAACAACAGAAACAAGACAATGGTCTTTTATTTTTAAAATTCTTAGGGAGAAGGAATTCTGCTGAAATGTTGGCAAAATGTAAAAATTCACGAATGCTCGTTATTTCTTGTACACAATCATTATGTTAGGTGGGATGGAGGGGGGGGAGGTTAATTTTTTTTTGGGGTAATAGTACATGTTCCCCAGAATATTAACCTAAAAAAATATATACATTATATTGCAAAAAAGGCCCATCTTCAAATGACTATTCTGGGGGCAGCCATAAGACTAAAACATTCTTTTTGGGCTCATTTTCTTCGAAGGGACACCAAGTATCCTCTAGTTAAAAAAAAATAATAATTTTGTTCAAATTTGGTTGTATATAAATAATTGTTAACAAATAAAAGGCACTTTTTCCCTAATAAACAAATAAAATAACTCAGCGGTTTTTAACTTTTGAAAGAAGTTATATACACCATTCGAAAGCTCGTAAAAAAACCTACAAATTGAAAAAAAAAAGTTTTTACGACAAATAGGTTCGGAGTTAGCAATTTTTTTACAACTAAATTTGAAAAAAATTTTTTTTTTTTAACCAGAGAATATTTTCGAAGAAAATGAGTCCAAAAAGAATGTTTTAGTCTTATGACTGCCCCCGGAATAGTCATTTGAAAATGGGCCTTTTTTGCAAAAATGGGATAAATAAATGGAATTTTGCAAAAACTATTTCACCGATCGAGCCCATCTTTTGATAAAAACTCACATTTTGGAAAAGTTTGGTAAGATTTTATTAATTATTTAAAAAGTTGTTAACAATTAAAGAAAAAGCACTTTTTCCGTTTAATTTTGCAATAAATTTTTTGTTTATAAAGCAATTTTAACTTATAGTCTCATTTTAAAGATGTTTCTCTAGATCAAATCGTCTGTTGAACATTTTTTGCCACGATTAATAGTTTTTTACAATAACACGTAGAACGAAAAATGACGAATTTTTGACCTATTTGTTGATAAAAACAATGACACTATACTTTTTTCCATGACCCACGAGATGAGATGCATATTATCATTCCCAAGACTTTCCAACAATAAAATCATGCCCAGTAATTTTCACGATTTCTCAATGATTTTTCACCTTTATTTCTTGGTCTAGTATGGTAAATAACTGAAATGACGACTGCGACAACTAAAATAATTTTATTTCTAATAAAATGTATATTAAAAAATAAAAACAGTTATTAATCTGACAAAGTAATATTCTTTAAAACAATTCCTAGTTTTAACAAAAAACTGTTTTTCACTCATTTTTAAAGCACACTGTTTAGTTTGTGAATCTCAGTGGCCCAGTTTAGGTGAATTACAATATCAATCTACCTGATGGGATATGACAATAGAACAATATGTGGGCTAAAAACAAATGGCCAATGTTAATTCGGTAACATGAGAATGGCTGAATATGAGATATGAGAAAACATGTATAGAAATCAAGAAAGAGATTTGCCAAAGTACATGCTGTGTCACTTGTTTGAGGTTACATTAGCTTGTCCAGCGATACGAGAATTACGAAAAAAAAATGGTCAAATACAGGCTTTGTATAAATATAATTCCCATTCAAAGTTACACTCTAGATCAGGGGTCGGCAAGTAATTTTAGGTGGGGTCCGGATACTTTTAAAAATTTTTAACGAGGTCCAGAAAATAATTTCTTTTTTTTTACAAATTTTCATTTGAACTCAAATTTAATCTGCTTACTAACCATTAAGAACTCAAAACACTCACACAATTGTAAAATACTAGGAAAAATGATAGGGTTGGCACTTAAACGTAAAAAAAACATTTTTTAAATAATTTATTTGTGTAATTTATACTTCCAAAAAATTTTTGGTGGTCCAGTATTTTACCGTCCGCGGTCCGGACCTGGACCACGGTCCGCCAGTTGCCGACCCTTGCTCTATATAATAGACGAGGGATACATTTTATAGAAAGGTAAAACTTACCTCGAAGCCGAATCTGTACACCTGCATCAACACTTCCCTAATCCTTGAATTTAAAGCCACCTTGTCGGATTCTTCCAATGACGCAAAGTTAATGTGTTCGAACAAGCCTTGCACTTTCCCGATAGCTTTCGGAATTATGCATTTAAAAGAGATGATACATTCCTGCAAATATTAAAATATTATGAGGTGACGTCTCCAAAAATTATGTGCGAAAAATTTGGGGGCGATTTATTGACTTATAAAAATAATGCTAGGACATTTAATATTAATGTACAGTAGGATCATATTCAGTGCAAAGTAATAAATCATTGCCTGTCAAGGGATCCAGTGCAGTACGGTTTTAAGGAGTTTAAAAATTGATTAATTTCTTTATGAATTATGAAGGGATCAGTTCACGTCTGGTACCCTTGTTCCTAGAAAAATTAATTTATTCTCATAAACTATTTATTTTAAATGGAATTTAGTATAAATCTAATTTGTTTTTTAACGCGTGTATAAATTTTTTCAAATTTATACACTTATTACTAGTTTTTGTGTGATTTCGTGTCTTTTAGGCATTTATACGGTCTGTTACATCTACAGAAATTTCAAAACGTCTCGTTCAAGCTATGCCTTTCAAATTAATAAATGTTGTGTTTGTTCCTCATAGTGTGCCGAATGTTAAAAGAAATCGACTCTCATAGCTACCATACTGGGCATTTTTATTATGTGACCCAATTTTTATGTTCAGTATGAGCAACATTTCAATGGATGCGATGGGAAGAATATAACTACTAAAAATAACAGTGAAACCAAAACTATAAAAATCTCAAGAAATTAAATGTAAACATTAAAATTTGCCAAATCATTTTTAATTACTTTGATTTACGAAAACATGATTACAAAATATTAAATGCATTTTTTCTTCTTTTCAACAGTTAATGATTTGAAATAAAGGCCCTTTTTAATTTTTAATCTTCAGTATTAAGTCGTTTGATATCTTTGAAACTCTTATGTATGTATAATTCTTTAATTTTTTGGTATTTAAAATTTGTTACCTCGCCAATAAAAGTACCAAATAAAAAAAATGCTTAACTGAAAAAAAGTAATGGCATAACATTAACGAAAAATAACTTTGAAGTCAACAAATTTTATACTGAACTTTTGAAAGTGTCAGTAGAATTTGTACCATTATTTTACGAAAAGAATCAATAGAATATATTTGCAACTCACTTTTAAATTTTTCTGGCAAGACAGAGGAACCTTTTCCATTTTACAACAGGTCTTAAGAAAGGCCATGGTTTTCAAGCTCATTTCACGTTCTTCGTTAAAGAGAGACTGCAGTTCACGACACATGGAAAACAAAGTTTGCCTGAAAAAAAAAAACCAATAGTGAATATCTGACGTTAATTTCTTGGTCCTTCGAGCCGGATATTAATCATTCATTCACAAACCTCTTTGTAATAGTTAACTTACTTTAATATGCCATCATTATCCTTCGGTATCCCTTCCAAAACATGCTCGATCCTTTGCAAAAGCCTATCGGCGATCCTCTTCAGGATCGCCCCCAAGATATTCGAGAACTTGCCGACCAACAGCTCCTCGCCCCCGGGAATAAACTCGATGATACTCCGAGAGAACTGATTTTCCTCCTCCAGGAAGTTCTTTTGGAAGGAATTCTGGTGTAGAAGCACCCATTGCTCCACATATTCCAAGTAATCGGTGAATACCTTCAGTGTGCACTGCTCAAACTTATCCCGCTTCTCGAGGAAGTGCTGCAGATTCTCGTTTGTCCCCGAAAGTGCCGCTTTGCCATACTCGATGCTGCGCTTACGTTCCTCGGTGGCTATCCTGAGGCCTTCCTTCAGTTCCCTCATCAGCTGTCTCACACTGAGGGGCGAGGGGTTTTCGGGCTTCTGGTCGATACGCATCTGCAGGTACTCGTAGATCACTTCCAAGGGAACCATGGCAAGGAAGAGGAAGGTGGCACGGTAGGACGGCAAGTTCAGCGCTTTCGCTTCCGGGCTCCAACAACCGTACCGCTGCAGTTCTTCTTCTTCCGTATCACAACTAACTTTCGAGTATATTTCCTGCGATTTCGGCAAATCTAAGGTATACATTGCCTTCTTCAGGATGTGCTGGTGAAGGCGATTCAAGAAACTCAAGCCCTTATCCAACGTTCTGGTTTTCAGTATGTTCTCGATGTACCTCCTGTAGAGGCAGCCATTTATCTGGTCTTTGTTCACAGTCAGAACCGCTAAAGGCGCGACATTGAAAAAGTCGCTGTGCCGCGAGTAACTGCTGTAGTCGTTGTTAGAGGAATTCGAGCTGCTGTTGCTGTCGGAAGGGCTGCTGGAGTTCATATCATCCCCCAAGATGGGCCAGTCGCCGCTCTTATTCTCCAAGAGGGTCAGCAACCGCCCCAGAATATTCATCTTGAGTCTCTGGTGCTTGGTCATGTTGTACCACAAGCACATAGCCTTGACCCTCCCAACAAACTCGGGACTGTTGTAAAGCGGGTATAATTCAGCGAACGCTTGGCTCGAAGGGAACAAACTTTCCGCCTCTTCCAGTCTTTTCATTAAGGTCTCGACGTCTCTCAACGCTTCGTTTTGGGCCTCCATGCAAGAGACGCAGTGTAGGCAAATGCAACCGGGGCAGTCGTCCTCGACGCCGCTGTCGCTGTTCTGCGTAGAGTACCGTCGGGAGGTCCGTTGGAAACGGTAGTTCTGTATGTCTTTGAGGAGGGGCTCCACGCATTCCCTGGCGGAGCAGAGGTAAGCGTCTTCCTCGGTGGGGGTGCGTTCCGCGTGGTACGCTTGCAGCTCGAGCCATATCACGTCCTTCAGCTCGTTCTGCCAGAGAGTCTCCTCCCGACTCATCTGGAAACATTAAAGATTCATTGAAAATATCTTACGAATAATTTAATTGTGAATAAAAATATAAAAAACACGAAACAAGATTAATATTTTAAAAGATGTTTTATTAAATGGGACATATATACGTACAACTTAATATACAGTGCTTTCGAAAAGTAACGAATAAATTCATTATTTTTTAAATTGAGAAGTTTTCGAAAAAATTCCCTGGTACATTGATTTTATTTTTAAAAAAGGCACTTTTTGACATACGACCCATATTTGTGATGTCGTTGTTGTTCGAGATATGACGTCATCGACAATTTTTTTAAATAGCAACCCCCTATTTTGACCATGCCATTTGAAAGAGTGTGTCATTCTACATACACAGATCATGAAAAATTATGGTGTTACATAACAAAAATTTCAAGAAAATAATGTTTGAAGATTTTAAAATTTAATTTTCACAATACTGAAAATGATAATGATTATGTAAAAATCGACTAAATGGTGCACCTCCCCATTATGCAACACCTGTCCGTGCTTATTTAGATGAGCTGTTCCCGAATCGTTGGATAGGGAGAAGGGGGCCGATTGAGTGGCCAGCCAGATCGCCTGATTTGACACCCCTAGATTATTTCTTGTGGGGATACTTAAAAAGCAAAGTATACGTTACTAGACCGGTTAATTTAGAAGATTTAAAAGCAAGAATTCGTCACGAGATACATCGTATACCTCCTGAAGTTATTGATAATGTCCAAAAAGAATTTATTAATCGTCTTGGCTACTGTCA